TTTTTTGTGGTGGGTAACAAATGAGTAACGCAAATTGTTCAATTGAATACCGTTGTCTTGATTCGCTTCAGTCTACGTCCCTTATAAAATTTATCAAGTGTTTTGTTGGTCAAAATTTAAATTTCAACAAAATCGAAAAATAACTCAAAATTTATATACTGTATGTATTTAGTTTCATATTCAATAATTACAATACATTTTTCATTTAAATAAAAAAATGATTTTCTTCTATCGATCCGACTTATAGCTATTCCATATTAGCCGATTTGTGGATATTTTTTTTTTTACGATTATTTGCAAATTAAAATAGTCACGTGATTTATTAAAGCTAATATAAAGGCACAAAATCTTTCTTTACCAGTAAACGTGTGGATGGCTTTCAATACATATAAATTTTTCTCGTAAAGTTCTCAATTATCTCAACGGTTTATCCGATTAAATGATCTGGTCAAATCGAACATCGTTCATATACATGGCCTTTCGATAGAAATTAGAGTTTATAAGGAATTTGCGCTCGACACAACGTATAAATAGCCAAGTGTACTAAGAAATAAAAAATATTTCAACTTGGTTAGTTGTTGTGCAGTCACCAGTTGGTCTTCTAACTCCTAAAAGATTGAAAATACAAAGAAAAAAAAAATCACAAAAAAAGATAATAAAGTGAGGAACAAAAAAAAAAAAAAAAAATAATTAATATTTGAATGTAAGTACAAAACCAAATATTTTCCAAACGTATTTTATGAATCAAACTTTTAACATTTAGTCTACATGATATTAAGGGGGAAAAAAATGAAGATATAATAACATAATTTTTAAGTAAGGCATGAAATTCTAGAGAATTTCTGCGCCTTCGCAAATAAATTTGAAGTATCACAAATAATATTAATCGCTTATCAAACTGCTAAAAAAAAATCAAATTCATTTTTTATATCAGGACCGATCCAAAACCCACTATAATAATCACATTATCCAAAGTTTAATTATTATTGTACAAAAGATTTTGTTCCGAATCCCGGATCAAGAACAATATGGTTTATTAAAAGTGATATGAATGCTAATAATCTATTCTATATTACATGACATGAAACATGAAATCTCTATTATTTAATACATTTCCAGGTATTTCTATTATTTCTTCTTTTTTATTGCTTGTATCTAAACCAGGAACTCGTAACATTTTCGCGCGATTCTGTTTCTTTTTATGCGATTTATATAAAAATACTCCAGTTAATACTAAAAATCCAAAAATTATAACAGATACAACAGATGCACTAATTAGAATTGATTTGTTAGTCATGGGTGATGGTTTGCCCTTTTGTGATAATGGATTGGGTAATTGCGTATCAAAAGAGTTTGTCCACACATAATTATCATTGTTACTAATATCAAGTAATAACACATCATTATCAATCGTTTGATCATAATCTTTTCCTATATTAAGACCGATCATTATTAATACATTTAATCAAGATGAATTCATGTATGAAAAGATATATTTACCAAATGATATAACCATGAATCTTCCAACCACATTTGCTTGATGATGGTATCGAGACATTGGAAGTTTTCCAGTAATGTTTGGAACCGTCCATAGCATGTTCGTTAAATCTAACACGTGAAGCGCATCTGCGGGGGCCATTTGAAATCCTCCAAAAATTATTAATCGTTTCCCATCCAACCCTATTGATAATAATGAAATCATAATTAATTAAGATTAAAAAATTTTTTAATGATTTTGCAACAAAATATTTACCAAGTACGGATGAAAAGGCGTCTCTTCCAGAAGGGACTTTACCCGTAGCATCCTGATGTATCGGTCATAAAAATCTTTTTTTTAATGATTGAAATATTCAGATAATAATATCTTTATAAATACACTCAAATAAAGTATACCTTTTTAGACCAAGAGTCACTCATTATATCATAAAAGTGGATCTAAGATTGATTAAATTATTAATTGCACATTATTTAATAAAGTTCAAGAAATTTTGATAAAATTAACGATAATTCACCTCATTTAGTGGGAATTTCACTCCAAAATCATCCATGCCACCTTTAAATGATAAATAAATTGGATGAGATAAAGGTAATGATTGATACATCATATTGAAATGACCTCTTACCAAAATAAGCAATTTGACGATTTGGTAACAAGGTTGCTCCATGACGCATTCTTGGAGCTGGCGCATTGATCAAAATTCCTGTTGTGAAACCAAGGTTGACCGGATCAAAAATGACCATACTGTTGGTCAGAGTTTTATTATACATTCCTCCAAATAAGTAAATTCTATCATTTACACTGATGCCTTTAAGATCACTCTTTCTAAGTTGTTCATCGTTAAATTTTGGAATATTCATCCATGTATTATTTAACGCATTAAACATATATATCAAATCCATCTTAGTTTTTTCAGCCAATACGTTTCCTCCATATAAAATTAATGCACCATTACTTGTGCCAGATGCTGCAGCAGAATGTGCCGGGACAATATTGGTGCTTGTTATGTCATTCCAAGACAATTTATCAGTATTAAACGGAACGGACACATCAAGGTAAAGAAATTGATTTCCAATAACTCCTCCATTTAAATCATGTACTCCGCCTATAATATATAATTTATTATCAACAAGTGTTGTGGTATGAAGTGATCGTTGAAGCATTTGACAGTTAACCCCAACTGATAATTGAATTATTACAACCCATGATACAATATACAATGAAAAGTTTTTTGACATGACATACATCATCTACGGTCACTATTATTATTAAATTTAGTAAAATAAGAAATTAATTTTTTTTTTTTTTTTTTTTTTTTTTTTTTTAAAAAAAAAAAGTGTGATTTATAATTCGCGACGTTGTATTTAAATATACATATATTTATTTTTTGTTAAAAAAAAAAAATATGCACTGCGCTACATTTGGTGTTGAATAATCATTGTCTTCACGAAAGATATATAACAGTAAAGTGTTTATTAGATCTGAAACAGTATTCTGCAATTGCATTGCGCCGAACCAAACATCAAAGTCTGTGACCAATACTGTAACTCCGAGTAAGTCCGTAAATTCCGACACTTTAAACTATTTTGGAATAGACAAGTAATGCGTGACGCAAATCTTCAAATTTTTGATCAACAAATAATATGAAGAAACATGACCTATTGTACTAGGTATAGGGTTCGTCATATGAAAGCTGCTATTATTAGCATTTAGGCAAGTTTTATATAAATACTGTAAAGAATGAAGAGTTTGTCTATTTGAGATATTTTGCGTGTCAGTTGAGACGCACCTTTGTACATAGGAATATATGCTTTAGAGTTAAGATTGAATCGATTCCACCCAGACCGAACTGATTTATTTGGGTCCTGCCGGTCTTTGGACTAACTTCCGGTAAGAATATTTCAATCTTAAGAATTAAGTAATGGCTTGCATTTTTTTTTTTTTTTTTAAAAAAAAAAAGATCCATTCAGAAAAATTTCACGAAAATAATTTTTTTTTTTTTTTTAATACTTTTGAATTGCATAGATCTTAAAATTAATTCTTTGTGTTCACTATTAGGTTTCTTTTATTTACATTTATTTTTAGTATTATTTGATGTTATTTTTATTTAGTTAGTATCGGTATATAGATTAGATCGGATTAATATCCGAAAAAAATTCATGAATATAGAACACTATTAATAACAAAGATTCCGTATATTAAACAATAATGTTACACTAATCAATGATTTACACCAAGAATTTTGTAAATATCAATCAATTTCTCATAAGAAAGTCTTCCCATTATTATAATCATTTCCTTTCTATTTACAATCATAACCATTATAATGGTCACTTTACAAATGATTTACGATGTTGCGCTTCATTTGTACTAATTATTCAAGTTTTCAAATGAAGTTGAGGATGTCGGTAAAATAATCCTTCGTTTGATAAACTTAATTACCTGGTACAGAAATGATTTTATTTAATAATTCTGCATAGTCCCTTCAACGAATTTTGTTTCAGTCATTCTCGCTTTTAAGGTACGACATATTTTAAATACGTCCAGAATTAAATCTTTCACTTCTTGGATTGAAATCTTTGTTGTAAATTTGAAGTATTAAAACGTTGTATATTTTCTATCATTTTTACGATTAAAAATTAACTGTCGTAACACTGCTTAGATTGATGCAAAAAAAGAATTAAAAAGTTGCTTCATCATTTTTAAGAATTATATTTAATCATTTTGTTGTTTGTTTGTCTTTATTTTAATATTGACTGACATTCTGTGTCCACTTAAGTTAATTCAGATTAATTTTCTTGACAAAGTCCGCAATTTACACAGATTTTTCAGTGACAAGGCAATGGAAAATTCTCGAATTTCCTTTTGCAGAACTATTAGGTAAATCGTTTCATAACAAAAATTTAAATCTTTGAGCTGATTGGTTATGACAGATCCCTGTTTGACATATATATATCACAGTTAAAGATTTACCAACTATAAATAATTGAATTAATTAAACAAAAAAAAATTATATCATTTTGAAAATGGATGAAGCTTATATATTGTGGAAAACGTATTATTCCAAACTTTTACGTATCGAAAAAATTTTTATAATAACATTCTTGACAAATTCGATTGGATCATTTTTTATATCGTTAATTTTTCTGTTATTGACAAAAAAATTTTCAAATAATTTTCAAAATTTGCTTTTATTACTGTTTCCAATTGCATCAGGAATCGTTACCGTAAGTAAATAACGATTTGAGAAATAGTGAATAAAATATCGATATATACGTATATTTAAAATTTTTTAAAAAATTTTTATTTTTAGTTTAATCAGCGAACTATACTCCATGGGGTGGTTTTTATTATTGTAAATAATTTACCAATTGTAATGTTTTCCTTCTATTTTATTACATTCGACATTTGGTGTCCGGAATGCCAAGAATTGTCTTCATATTATATGGCGATATTTTTAATGTGTTTCTTAGTATCATTACAAACATTTTATATCATTGCAATGTATCTATTATGGAGATGGAAAATATGGCCGATGATCAATGAGTTTGAATATTCCAAAGATAATGAAATAAAACGATTGCATGCAATATATCAATTACAATATCCGATACTTCACGGAAAATTTACAATGATGGGACAATGGTTGTGCATTTACCTAACATTCGTGATTTATGATTTAAAAGTCATACGGGAAGGTCAAGTAACCACAAGGGCCTTTTATTATTTTTTGGTCCCTTTAAATTCGTTATTCTGTTTATACGCTTTATTCATGGTTCGAGGGGTGAGTAAATGAATGAATGGATTTTGTAGTTATCATATACGTGCGTCTAATATATATATATATTTTTTTTTTAATCACAAGGTAAAAAAGGAATCAACGAGTTTGCTTTGTATTACATATTTTGGAAATATTTTGCAGACCGGATTCTTGGTTTATTTTACGACAGAATATTGTTACGCAGAAACAGATTCTCCCCCCAAAATTTGTATTAAGGAGGATTTCTTTTTTCACACGCTCATTTACACATGTACAGTAGATCATTATTTGATTATATCTTTATCACAATCATTTTACAATATTGACAGTAGATACTACTTTTTTTTTTCTTAGGTATTATGTCTGGTATTTTCTTGATACTATCAACTTGGAATACGTTGAGATGTCATCGTAACTTTGGACGCAACCTTGGCTTTTATAGTAAGTTATTTTCAATCATGATCCTCGTTTCATCGAAAAATTTGATAATTTATATTCTATTATACTTTAATAGTTAACTATGAACCATGTCCCAAAGAATTTCAATATGGAAAGCTTTAGATAAAAGGCGTTCGTATAATATAAATGTATGAATGCATTCTAAAAGTTTATTAAAATAATTTCTTGACATGCAACAATCATAAACTTTTATTAAATAATAACTTTTCTTCAATTATAGAACCGTTACTTTGATAATTATATAAATTCCACTCGAGCTTCATCCCAAACCTGTTCTTTTAGTTTACGTTGTGATATTTGAACAAAATAAATGTTTCTACTATAGTCTTCAAGAATGCTAGAATAATCTTCAATTTTCTTCCCAAGCGGCAACCTCCATGCGAGCACTTTTATTCTATTCTTACTGAAATTTAGAAATCCTTTTAGCCCTTCTGTTGACATAATCCAACCGTTTACTTCGAGGGAGGTGAGCGACGGAGGAATTCCTTCGGCTATCGCCTTCAACCAATTATCGATGTAACATAACCCTCCGTCACTTTGTACAATAAATCTTTGTAGTTTTTTGAGTGACCTAATTAATTCTAATAAAGGTGGTAATTGTTTATATCCAATATTTAGTCCAAGGGTGGTTAGGTTGGTGCAATATTTTTGAACGTGATGAAATAATGAGTCGAATAACGTTGGTTGATATGACTCGTTTACTATTAATTCCGTCAAATTATTACCTAGATTTTTGATTAGTTCAAGAATTTCTTTGGTAGGACTTATTTCGGGTAAAAGATAAAAATGCCGGTTATTGATTTCTAACGTTGTTAACCTTGGAAATTCCATATTTAACAATGGTTTCACGACATTATCGGTCATGTTGTAACAATTTATGAATCTAATTTCTTCAAGATTCTCGCTAAATTCCGATATACATTTCAAGCCATGTTCATCAGTCCCAAATGGTACGTGATCAAGTTGAATTCCTTTTATGGTATTCTTTTGGGAGCACAATGACGTAAGTATGTCGGTGATACCTCTGCTGACCCTTTTAATAATCACCTTTTCAATTCCTTGCTGAGCTTTGACTAATTTGGTAATGGCTGAGTTTACGGTTCCAACATCATTATCCCAATCATTTTCGGTAATGATGAGATTTTTGATCGATGTCGACGATTGTGCGAGTGATAAAAGGATTTCACTATTCGCATTATCATTTGAGCAATGTAAAGTGTTCAATTTTGATAACCCCACGTTATGATTATTATTTAAAGGAGGGAAGGAAATAGATTCGCAACGAGTTCTTCTCTTTAATTCTCTCGAGACGTCAATTTTCAAGTATTCTAAACCGATTGAATTGTTCAAGATCATTTTTAAGATTTCTTTCGACAGCATGATTGAGAAAACTTGATCCTCTTTTGTTGGGATCTCTTCAGATTCTTGTCGCATTTTATTATTAAATATCACCCAATCTAATACGCCATCATAAATGTCCATGAATGAAACTTTTCGAAGATATGTTGGGTACTTGATGAGGATTTTCTTGTGATTTTGACCGCCCGTAATCGATTTCGTTTTCTCATCCAAGAAATCAAAATAAGTTGTCACAAGCATTCTTGGATCCTTTTTTTTTATCAGATTAAATGGATTACTCCATAATAATGGGATGGTGAATTCACACCACACATGATTAACTAGCAGACATGAACATAATGTATTGTTGTCATACGGATCAATGTGTGAAATGATTTCTCGAACGATATCATTGGGAACATGAAGTTTATTTATCGTGCTCATTTTTTATTCTTATTTTTTTATTTTTGATACGACGGTTTTATTAAATAAATAATGAAAAAAAAAAAGAGATTTTGTTTTTGCTATCTTGTATTTATAAATTTTTTTTTTCCTGTTTTACAAACAAACCAAGAGATCAAAACTATATTTAGTAATTAATACAACCAACCGCCTTCTCTTTTATTTACAAACAAATAATAAAGAATTCATTCAATGATAAGCTTGATCGTCAACGAGGTGACTATGTTCAATCCGAGGATCATATATTTTTTTATGAAATTTATTCAAGTCATTTTTTTTTTGTGCCTCCTCAATTTTTAGAGGAGCGCCTCGTCCGACCCGAACCACTCTGTTACTTGTAAATCTTTAATCGACAAGATTGTGAAATGATAATTTGTTTTTGATATGAAATAATAAGTTTTGGTGTTATTGTATGCCAAAAATAAATCATTGAAACGCTATTGACTCGTGGTCAATTCAAAATCAGTCCGAGTTTATGAGATTTTTTAACCCAAACTTGATTTCACAACATTTAAAGAAGGCTGTCGGACAACCTCCGATGATGCTCTTTTCCTTTCTTTCACACGTGAAAAAAATAAAAAATTTCGAAAATTATATTTTTATGGAAGATTCATTAAATGAAATAAGGCGCAAATTCATAATACTCTACTCTTTTTTTACATTGATTATTGTGTGAAATCTTATGATGACGAACCTTAAATTTGTTTTTTTTTTTTGTTTGCTACTAATAACATTTCGTAACAAAAAATTCTTGTTTCTAATCCCGAGTTAATATGGCGTTAAACAAAAAGCATGAGACGATTAACGAAATATGGTAAATTTACGAAAATTTTTTATTTTTTTGTTAAAATAATTAACGTTAACGTTAATTTATCAAAAAAAAAAATTTTTTTTATGATCACGTGATGAACTTTGTCAAATAACCGTGATTTCTCTTTTTATTTATTTTCTTAGAAAAATAGATTGAAAATGAATTATTTATAATAACGGTCTGCCCTTGACCGAACCGACCCGTTTCATTTTAATTTTTTACTAAACATGTTTTTTTTTATATTATTTATGCTTTATTTTCTTAGGTTTGATATGCATTTCCTTCTAAACTATTTACCTTTCATATTTTTTAATTAAATAGAATTAATAATATATTATCGAAACAAGTAAACTTTGAACATGGATTTTTATTAAATTATTTTTTTAAGGTTGGATTGCTGCAAGATAGTAGTCCAAATTTTGTGGTCCGGACTTAATAAGTTGACTGACAAATTTAATAATTCAATCATATATATATTTTTTTTATTTACATATTTTTATTACAAAAAAATTATTGAAGTGCACTGTATAACTAAAACACTATCTATTGAAGACTGCTCTTGAGTATCAAAAATATCATTATAATTCATTCAAACTTCACTTAATGTGTAACGTGAAAAATTATAAATCGGTGTTATTTTGGTAAATAAATGATCGATATACTGTAGTTATATATATCAAAATGAAATTTCATTATAAAAATAAAAAAGAATAATATTCTTGCATAGCAATGCATATAGAATCCATGTGAAATGTTTTAGATGTCTTGCTTTAATCATATAATGTGTAAGCTATTAACAAAGCTTCAATCCGAACCTTTGATTTAATTTGGCATAAATTAGTAACAAAAGATGGCATGAGCTGAAATGTAAGTTGAATTTTATCAATCAATTAGCTAACTTTTCAAAAGATAAACTGATTTTTTGCTTCTTTATAATAGAAACACAATTGATAGAAATGCTACCAAAATGCTTTCAAAAATTAAAATTGGCTGATAAAGAGTCAAAACATAAGTTGAATTTTATCAATCAACTAACCTATTCTTTAAATAATAAACTGATTTTTTGTTTCTTTATAATAAAAAATAACAAAAATGCATTTACAATATATCATTTGAGAATGAGCTAATTTTTTCAGAGTATAAAATAGTCATAATATACTATCTTTTATATTAATATTAAATAACTTTTCAAATTATAGAAGTAGATTTAGAAAAAATGCAAAAATGATATGAGAAAATTTGGCTTTCATTAAAAATTTTGATGATAACTAATGGCGAGTACTTTAAATGATTTAGAATCAGATATATTATTTTTGATTTATTTTGATTTATTATTTTATAATTCACAATATATTTTCTTTATTTCTACATAAAGAATCAAAAGTTGAAAGAAAAATTTGCTAAATGTATATTTGAATTTATGTCTAAATAATTTATATTTTAAATAATTTTTTCTAATTTTTATATTTAGGTTGAAATAAAAACAGTTTTGAAAACTATCAATTCAAAGGATGATTTGAACTATAGTGAACTTTTTAATAGCAAGAAAAATACTACAATATATTATAATCTGATTCTAGAATTATAAAAATCTTTGGTATTGAATTATCAGCCTTTTGTTGACTAATTTACAAACTAACTGAAATTCTTTCATATATTATATCATTTAACTTGAAAAATAAAGAAAAGTGAAAGGATCCTTTAGTGCTATGGCAAATTTATAATAATAATTAAATAATATTATTAATAGACTTAATAAAATATATTAAAAGAAACTTATTTATTGTGATTTTTATGATGGTAATATTTTAAATATTAGAAATAATATTTTATCTATTAGTAATTTAGAATTATATAAGCCTATAAATTATTTTTAAACATCTAAAAAAAATAATATTTATGGTGTTTTACTATTTGTAGCACCTGAAATTTTAAGAGATCAACCTTATTTTTTAGCAAATGATATATACAGTTTTTCTATAAATATGTGAGAATTAATATCAGAAATTTCTCTATTTAATAAGAAAGCTCATAATTTTCAACTTTGTTTAGATATTTGTAAAGGTAAATATCCTAAAATTATTGAAAATACTTTAAAATTTATATAAATTTAATGAAAAAATGTTGGGATGTAGATCTATTAAAAAGGTAAATAGTATTAAAAATTAAAAAAATTATTGAAAATTAGATTATAAATATTTGAAATAAATATTTTGATATAAAATTAAAAGATGATATTATAGATTTTATAAAGTAGATAAAGCATTAAAACAAAATTATAATAATAATTTAAATAATATGAAAGATCATTCACAAGTATTTTATACAAGTTATTTAATTAACTTTACTGAAAAAATTAAATGAAATTTTAAATCAAGAAAAAAATAAAATAATATTAATTCTTAAAAGTAAAGGTATAAATTTTCAAATATAATTTAAATAAAATTTTATTAATAAATATTATTATAATTATATAAATTAATGAAGGTAT